AGTCAGACCCCTCCATGGGTTTCCAAGGTGGTATCACTATGGAAGTAGATTGCCCAACCTTCCTTCCAAGGAGTGGTTGGTGGGTTTGAACTGCCAGCCTTCTGGTTAGCAGTCAAATGCCTTAGGCACTACGCCACCAGAACTCCCATGTACATATATATCTATATATATTTTAAGGAGCTCTGGTGGTGTAGTGGTTAAGGTCAGTGATTCAAACCCACCAGCTGCTCCGTACAAGAAAGATGGGGCAGTCTGCTTCCATAAAGACTTACAGCCTTGGAAACCCTAGGGGGGTCTGTGAGTGGGAATTAACTTGATGTTAGTCAGTGAGAATATATATATATAGGTTTTAGACATTTTTGTGTGCTGCAGGTGAAAGGTTGTATAGCAGGTAGTTTTCCCCATCAGTGGTTCCATACCCTTTGTTCCCTGACATTGGCTGCAAGGCATCTTTTATATGTTCATGCTTCTGTTACCCACCGCCCCCCAGTCAGATGTACTGAATGTTCAGGGCAACACATTGATTTGAGTGTAACTTACACTTTTTTTTAACACATGTGGTCCAGGCTGGTCCTGACTTATGTGAAGGAAGAGGCAGCTAAGCCAGACTTCTGTGATGGTCACAGCCCGGCAGTGACTGTTACCTTTGTGTGCCCATCAGAGCGGAGAGAGGTGAGTGACCTGTCCAAGGGTGACTTCCAGTGGAGAGTAGGCCAGGGCTGATGTGGGTTGTTTACCTAGCTAGATACATAGACACAAGTTTGTGGTTAAAGGGCTGGGTGGGGCCAGGTGCTGGAAAGAGCTGGCTGTGCACATGTGCCTGGCACTATCGGGGGGACCTGGGAGAAAGCGTGCTTCCTGGGGTAGCTTCTGCCATGGGTGCGAGCCTGCCAGGGAGAGCAGTGTGTTTGTTTTCCTCAGTAACCAGAGCGGCCCCCTCCTGTGTTAACGTGGGATGGTGTTACGTTGTCGTGCTATGTGAGGTGGTTTTAGGGGGCTCACGGACAGGGTTTTTTTTTAATTCTAATAGTTTGTTAATTTTAATGCACGTTTGCAAAACCCATCAGCGTAATATCAAGCCTGAGATTTCATGGATATTAGTGCTCAATGATGATGAAGCAAATTAAAGATACTCACATGTTAAGATATACCGGTGTTGTTAAACATACTGAGAAACGAGTAGTTCAGACGGTTTCCAGATGGGGCAGAAACTCCGGGGGACACCAGTGCGGGAGAGGGGCGCCCTCCCATTCCCCTCTGCCCCCCCCCCATGCCTGTCCTCCCTCCCTGCTCGCCTGCCTCCCTGCGTCCCTCCCGGTCACTCGCAGGCAGATTTATGGCTGCTGATCGCCAGCTGTTTATTGAATGTCCTGGATGTTGTAAACTCCTCGAGGGGCACCAGTCCTACTCAGCCTTTGTCTCAGTGCCTGGCTCGCTCTGCACGTGCTGGCCTGCTGCTGACGTGTTTCCATTTTAATGGGCCCTGCGCTGCAGCATCGAACACAACCATTCCTCAGGGAGGAAGGGTAGGCTTTTCCTTCCATTCAGTTCTGCTGTCCTGGAGCGGAACACAGCGGGCCAAGCCGAATTCCTTTGCCAGACACCCACCCTCTCCCCCCGAAAAGAAGTGTGGAATTTGCTCATGCTGGCAGTTGGCCTGCATTTTGTGTGGGGCTGTGGAGAAAAGTAGCAATGCTTGTGAGGATGGCGTGGGACCGGGCAGTGTTTTGTTCTGTTGCACGTGGGTCGCTGTGAGTCGGAGCTACTTGGTGGCACCTAATCCCAGCAGCATGGAGACGGGGGCATAGTCCCAGCTCAGCGTCCCTGTTTCTGCACCTAGACTCCTACCTCACATCTGATGTCGGCCCAGCAGACCCACAGAGGAAAGCTGGTTCTGACCGGGAATCCTGACGGATGTTTATGCTTCCATATCTGCCCGCAGGCTTGCATAGGGTCTTTGAAGCCTCCACAAATGTCCTTAGCTCCTAGTGGTCCTCAGGGTTTGCCTCCCCAATCCCCCCCTCCATATGCAGTCAGAAACATTTTGTGCCTTCTCAGGGAAGGGAGGTGGGGTTCCGTCCCTTCTCCTCCGTAGGGTACAGGGCATTGGCTGTTACTAGGAGAGGAACCGCTAACCTCGCAGCAGAGTCGAGGTTCCGTCTCTGGCTTCTTGCCTGCCAGGCGGAGCTCGTGTGACACGTCTTTGGACACTTTAATACTGGAAAGATTTATTTCAGTGCAGGGAGTCCAGCTTAGGATGCAGGCCAGTTATGATGAACTGGGCTTCAGACCGTGTCTTTTTTGTACATCTGATTGTTAGTGATGCATGCTGTGTACAATGTTAAAATACATCCGTATGTTTATATGTAACGTTTCCAACTCCTAAGACAAAGGCTGGGTTTATAAAGATACTGATTAAAAAAGGCAATAATAAAATTAAAAAGAAATTGAGTTATTTGACTTAGGTCAAAACTGGCTTACAGCAGTCAGACGGAACCCTGTCTTAATTGGGGACTGCCTGTTGGCCCACTGAATGCTTGTGAGGGTTAGTATTGTAGTAAACATCCATCTTTCAAACTGATCTTAGAAAAAAGCTGTGTTGACTTGGTAGACTATAAAATTCTCCTGTTGCAAGTACAACCCTGTGGTTATTAGTGTATTCACAGCATTACATAGCCGTCTCCACAGTCAATTTGAGAATATTTTCACCCCAAAAGAAACCTCGGGCCATGTGCAGTCACTCCCTGTTCCCACCCGGCCCCTGAAGACCACGAGTCCATTTCCTGTCTCTCTGGACACTTCATGTAAACGGAATCATTGCAGCATGTGGTCCTTTGTGTCTGGCTTCTGTCACTGTGTGCTCTGCACTGCCTCACCATGTCAGGCTGCTCTGAGTGAGAGGTTAGAAGCCTGGATTCCGGGCCCTGCAGAAGATGGTTGGACGTAAAGTTTTGTGACTTACCCATGGTGTGATGTCTACGTATAACCTAGCACATGACACCGTCAGTACATAGTCCGTGACGTTGCCAACAGTGACTGTGCTCGGCTGTGAACCGAAAGGTTGGAGGGTCCCGTCAACCCCAGAGGTGTGTTGGAAGAAAGGCCTGGTGATCTACTTTCCAAAAAACCAGCCCTCGGAAACCCTGTGGATTGTGATTCTGCTCTGACACACGTGGGCTTGCCGTGAGTCGGAGTTGACGTGATGGCAGCGGGTCCTGGTTAAAGCAGTGCTCAGTATTCCTGGCACTGAGGCCAGTGGGGCCTCTCCCGAGGATGACCAAGAAGTTGGCCCTGGCCAGAATGAGTGACCTCATTAGCACCCCACAGCTCACACCGGTGATGGACGCCCTCGCTTCTGGTTTGCACAAGCAGCTCTCGGGGCAAAGTGGCAGGCCTGGAGTTTGTGGGTGGCGGCGGCTGACTTCACCCAGGAGAAGGAGCTGATTTGAACGTGCAGATGAGGGGGGAGCTCAGCCTTCAGGCCCCAAGACTCTGACAACCTTATGAAAGGGGCTGGGACTGTCTCTCCAGATGTACACACACGGCAATTTTCATCCCGTCCCAGTGAAGCACGTCTGATTTAAGGAGAGGCTGGACACACATGCCTTTTGGAAACAGTCACTGTTTGCCAAGGTTGTAACGACCAGCCCTCCGACGGTGCTAGCTCCAGGTGGGCCCCTGGCTCAGTGGAGCTCTGAATGCCAGGTGTGGGCCACACCTGTGAGGTCTCCTGTAAACCGAGCTTTCGTGAGTTAGTCGGGATGTGTTAGGAGCAGTCACGGGTCTAACAACAGGAACAGAACCGGTAAGATCCCAGCCATCTGTGAGCTTTGCAGAAGCACAGGACATCTGCATTTAAGCTGCATGTCTTAAGTTTCTCTTGCTCCTTTTCAATTGCTCCTAACAGGGCACCATTCCTAAGCTGACTGCGAAATCCAACTGCCGCTACGAGGTGGAGTGGGTCACCGAGTATGCCTGCCACAGGGGTTATTTGGAGAGTAAAACATGTTCTCTCAACAGTGAGCAACATGACGTCACCATTGACCTGACGCCGCTCGCACGGAATGGATGTGAGTAGGGGCCTCTTGCGCTGCCAGTGTGTGCCCTGTGGAGACGCAGGGTGGGAGAGGGGACCGTGGGACTGTGGCCTGAGTTAATCTGTGCCACTGGGAAGGAGAGAGCTGTGCGTAGTCTGGTCTGTAGGGAGGCTGGGATCGACGCTTGACTAATGTAATGCTGGAACTTTCTAGTATTCATGGAGATAACCACGCCTCTTCTCCACCTTTCTTCAGTGTCCTACTTCTTGTACAATACCTCGGACGGAGACGAATATAATTTTGTATTGAATGTGTGTCGAGACACCGAAGCCTACATCTGCAATACGAAAGGGGTTGCAGTTTGCCAAGTGAAGAAGGCTGATAGCACTCGAATGAAAGTGGCAGGAAGATCCCAGAACCAAACCCTGCGGTGTGTAAACAGTCTAGTGTGGTTCTGAAGGCATCGTGTCTGTCCTGTGAGACAAAGCCAGCTCCCCAAATCCTAATCCTGCTTGGCTTTCCCTGAAGTGCAGGGCAATCTGATAAGCCAGCATCCCTTCCCCTCCGGCCGAGGCAGCCCATCTCTCGTCACTGAACTAATGACAGCTGGATGTTTAGATGCCGTCGAAAGGGGGCTGCTGTTAAAATGTGCAGACCTGTTGTTTGTAAGGAGCCATGTTGTAAGAAGGATACTAAGTTAATGTAAAACAGACAGCAGCTTTGATACTTTAAAATGTATGTTTTTGAAGAATTTACATTTTTCCCTAGGAGTTTGAGACTCTCAAATGCCTTTAGCATTCTATAAAAAATTTAAACAGCTCAACATAGCCCCTCAGTGCAATTCTGGCGGCCCTTAGGCTGGTGGTGGTATTCACACCTGCACTACGCAAAGGCTCTTTTCCGGAGGTATGCCTTGCCCAGGACCCCTTGAGTCAGACTGTGTTCCTGCAGGAACGCCAGCCGCGGGACTCCTGGATGTTGTTTATTTTGTAGCAGCCCTGAAAGTGAGAGCACAAGAGTGTCTCCACGCTCACAGCAAAACCCGGGCCGCCTTCTCCGCCAGTTACGACCCTGAAGGGAAAGGATGACAGGCCTGCACTTTGGGGACTCCTTCCCTCTGGCCCTTGCTCTGCAGCTGGTAGGGAGTCTGCTGTTTGATGTCAGAGGTGATGGATGGTGGCACGCAGAAGGCTTAATGGAAACATTTCTAAGAAGCCAAGTTTCTCTCTCGGTTCCTCCGCATTTTCACGTGTATCTCTCTTCACAAACTCTAGATACTCGGATGCAGATCTTACCTTAATATACTCTGGAGGTGATGAGTGCAGCTCAGGCTTTCAGCGAATGAGCGTCATCAACTTTGAGTGCAACCAAACCGCCGGTGAGTGTGCGCTGGTGTCAGTCACGTTTTTTTGAATTGGTGGACAAGTCGGGAATTGTGTGTGCTGTGGAGGGAGGGTGGTGGAGGCATAGGGCACGTCGTGTGAGTGTGCAGCGTGTGTGTGCCGTGTGTGGATGGGGTGCGTGGCATGTAGTAGGGGTGTGGGAGGGCCTGTGGGGTGTGTGTGCCCTGTGTGTGTGATACGTACTGTGTGTGTATGTGAGGTGCGTGTGGTGTGTGTATGTGTGGTCTGTATTCTGGGAAGTGGAGCGTGGACTGGAGCAGCATTTTGGAACAGTTGTGTCTCCTTTGGACCTGGCCAGCCCTAGTCCCCAGGCTGGGCTTTGCTGTTGCTGTAATGGGTAGAGGACCCTCCCCCAATGACACACACATCCTGTTTCCATCTCCCTCCCTGCTCTGTTTGTGTTGGGAGTGGGCCCCGTGCTCCTCTTGCTGGGAGAGTTTCTGTCTTGCGTATCCCTCACACTGCAGCACGTCCAGCAGAGTAGGGCTTACCCACCGGCTTTGTTTGAGTGGGTGGCCTCTTCTTCGTGGTGGTAGTCGGCTTCAAGGCAACCCTTTTTGCAAAGTTACGACTTTTAGATTGCAGAATGTCACAGGGCAAGTTTTAGCTGAATGTTTGCTTTTATCTGAGCCATTAGGAAAAAGTTCCTTGAAACTCCAGGGCATTGGCATTTCAAACGCCCACTGTCCTTATCTTGAAGCTTGTGCACACCAGTGGTGTCTGTAGAGGGGCTGGGGGCACTCTCTCACAGCTGCAGGCCACAGCCCTGGTTGGCCTCAACGATCCCCACCCCCACCCCCCGGTAGACAGCCCTGCAGGGAGTATTCCTCCCTGGGCCTGACTTTGGTCGCTGTCCTTGTACAGCCTGCTCCGCTGAGGTGCTTGTTAGTCCTTCATTCTGTCTGTCTGGTGTGTTTCTTTGGCAGATCTTTTTTTTTTTAAATGATTTATTGCACTTGTTTTTAGGAATATACAGTAGAACATACACTGTATGTTTGGCAGTTTCAACATGTGCATTTCAGTGGCATTGATTACATTCTTTGAATTGTGCAACCACAATTCTCACCCTCCTTTATCTGAACTGTTCCTCCTCCATTAACGTCAATTCCTTGCTCCTAAGCTTCCTTATCTAATCTTGGGAGTTGCTGTTGTCAGTTTGACCCCATACAGATAGGTCTTAAAGGAGCACAGTGCTCAGGGCAGATATTCTCTACTGGTTTAAGTTAAACGGTTTGGTTTTAGGAAGAATTCAGGGAGTATTTGAGCTTGAAGGTTTAAAGATGATCTCAGGGCAGTAGTTTCAGGGGTGCATCTTGCCTCTGTGGCTCCAGAAAGTCTGGATTCCACGAGAATTTGAAATCCTGTTCTGCATTTTCTGTTTCGATCAGGTTTCTGCTAAAGAATCTTTGATCAAAGTGTTCAGTAAGGGTAGCCGGGACTCATGAGCTTTTACTGGTCTCACAGCAAAGGAGGCAGTTGTTCATGGAGACAATTAGCCACACATTCCATGTCCTCCTCTTGTTCCTTACTCTCTTTCCATGTTGCTCTAGGCGAGTAGAGACCAGTTGCACCTTGGATAGCCGCATATAAGCTGTTAAGACCCCAGGCATTACTGAGCAAACTGCGAGGTAGAACAGAAGCACTAAACATGTTATTGGGCCAATTAACTGGGATGTCCCATGAAACCGTGACTGTGAACCACCAAAGCGAGATACCAAATCCTGTATGAGGCATGTGGTTATCCATGAGCAGCGTCAGCACTGCTGTTTTTATTGTTGTAAATGTATCTCACACAACTTCCGTGTGGTGGGGCTTCTGATGATTTGGTCGTGGAGCAGATTTCTAAGTGATTTGCTGCAGGGTCTGTGAGGAGGCAGCTTCAGAGGACGTGGACTTGGCCTCGGAAGCTTGTGTTCAGAATGGTGAAGAAGAGGTCAGGAGGGGTGGTGATTCAGTGGGGTGTGATGTGAATCCACTTGGTGGATGAGAAGAATCAGGGTGGGCTTTGGGCACATCTCCTGCCTTGGGTGGGGGCTCCTGCCCTCTCTGAGCTCCGCTGGGCTCCTCACCTGGTCCACACCAGCTGCAGGAGCCTGTCTCAGAGTTGAGGTCCTCGGTTCTGTGTTCCCAGCCCCCGTGCAGTGTAGTTCACTGCTTCGTCCCCAGGCCCCAGTCCTTTAGTTACTCAGGGCTTGGTTCTGGCTGTTGATTCCCTGGGTTGGTGGTGCCCCAGCCGACCTTGCCTCCAGCAGAATCTCCTGGGACCCTGACTGCCCTGCTGTTAGACTCTCATGGTCCACATCACACACCAACCCGGTCGTGCCTTCTCTCGGCCCTACCTGTTCAGGGCTTCTATTAACACCTTGACTGAGGCCTTCGTTGAGTGTTTGACCTTCTTTGAGGGGGTGCCGGGAAGATGCAATAATGAGCCAGAAAGGCCCTCATCCAAACAGATGAAGCAGATCCCGGGAGGGGCATGTAGTCCTGGGTTCACAGGGAAGGGGGTGGACATGGAGGAATTGGGCAGGAGAGCTAAAGCCTGTGGGAGCCAAGACTTGGGGGAAAAAAGGCAAAATACCTTTTCTTTCTTTTAAACTTTTTAGTATAAAAAAATTCAAATATAAAAGTTGTTGTTGTTGTTGTTATTTGCCGTCGAGTCGGCCCCGACTCATAGCGACCCCTCCTTGGGTTTCCGAGGCAGTATCACTACGGGAGTAGGATTGCCCAACCTTCCTTCCGAGGAGTGGCTGGTGGGCTTGAACCGCCAGCCTTCTGGTTAGCAGTCAAGTGCCTTAGCCACTATGCTACCAGAGCTCCCAAAATATAAAAGTAGATGATTACAATGAAACATCCTGTGCCCAGCACTCAGATTTAAGTCATTAACGTTGCCAGCGGAGCCCCCTGCTGGTGCAGATGGTTAAGCGCTTGCCTGCTGGCGGAAAGCTTGGTGGTTAGAACCCGCCCGCTTTGGAAGCGTGCGGACGATCTGCCGCTGAGAGGTCACGGCCTTGCAGATCCTGTGGAGCAGTTACTCCTGCTGTGCACACGGGGTCACCGTGAGTCGGAATTGACTCAGCAGCAGCTAACGATGATGAGGTTTTGCCAGATTTGTTTTGTATTAACTGTGTCCTTGATGAAAGAGGACACTTCACTTGACCTGTAGAAAAGGGCATTCCTTTATACAACCTCGGTACTGTTCCTGTGCCTAGTGAAACGAGTGGTGCCCAAATATCAGAAGTCAGTGCTGGCACCAGCCTGCTCTTGTGAGTGTGACAGGGACATGGGCTTAGAGACGCTGGGATTTAGGGGAAGGGTTTCCTGCATCCTTTCAGGCAGGATTTGGATCATGAATTACTTACAATCCTTCCTGCTCCGTGACTCTGTACTCCAAACTCGGGAGCAAACTGTGTGTGTTCCAGAATGGTTTCATCATAGCTTTGCTCACATCTACACGGAGTCTGGAGATAGTTAGTGCGTTGGTGGATTCTGGGCTTACTGGGTAAGTGGGTTTTTGAATGTGTGTGTGCCTAAGGCCCTCGACTGCCGACTAGAAGGCTCTCAAACCCACCAGCCACTCCTCGGAAGGAAGGTTGGCCCATCTACTTCCACAGTGATACTGCCTCGGAAACCCAAGGAGGGGTCGCTGTGAGTCGGGTCCGACTTGACGGCACATAATAATAACAACAACAATAATGTAAAGTGGTTTATAATTGAACTTGGAACATCAAGAATTACTTATGCTTATGACTCTAAGATTCATGAATATTTAAGGTGCAAAGGTACATAAACTGACCCTTTTAGCCATTATATTGATATATTAAAAACAAACTCGCTGCCATTGAGTTGGTTCTGACTCATAGCGACCCCCTTTGGATTTCCGACGCTCTAAATCTCTGTGGAAGTACATTGCCTCATTTTCCTGACATGGAGTGGCTGATGGGTTTGCACCGCCTACCTTTTGCTTAGCAGTCGAGTGCCTCAGGCACTGTACCACCAGAGCTTCTCACGTTTATATATGTATGTATATAAAACTAACATCTTTGTTGGTTTCAGTAACATACGTGCTGCAGTTTGATGTCATGTAACACCTTATTGTTAGTGACTCAGTCAAACAAGGATGTGGCTCGTTCTGGGGAGGAGTGACTCTGTTAGCACAGATCATGGAACCATCCAGGGCTCAGCGCTCTGTGCACTGAAGGTTTATGTCTCACTCACACCACGCTCCACGTGGGGCTGGGGTGGTGTGGAGTTCTGCTCCAGGCAGCCATTCAGGGCCAGGTTCTTGCCATCTTTACCGCCAGGGTTCCCAGGTCTCTGCAGAACAGGGACAGTATACTTTTTTTTTTTTAATGTCCAGAATTCAATTGCATAATGTGACTTTGAGTGCAAGGAGGCTGGAAGGTGTGGCTTAGCTGTGTACTTAGGCAAAAGCTCCATGCTTGGTGAGTAGGTGGTGTTGTGTTTGCAGCAGAGGAATGGGCTTTGCCAGCTCCGTTTGGGCAGAGGGTGCCTTTGTTTGCTGGAAACCTCTGCTCCCCGTCGGCTGCCCATGGAATCTGAGCACCAGGAAGTTGCACTGGAGTGTTGGGGTCTGGGTGCTGGAAGAGCCAGCATGGTGTGTCCAGGATTGTGTGGTTTAGTGGGAAGTGGGAGAGGCTGCGTGTGTGGAGTTGTGTGGGCAGTCACAGAGCCTGTGAGGCCAAGCCTTGCTCTGTCACCCGGCCCTCTTCAGTGTCCGTTTGATCTCCTCTCGTGGTGGCTGTAGACAGGCTTCTCACTTATTTGGAATATTCTTCCAAGATGAACAGATCCGACCCTCCGTTGAAGGGTCTGCGTCCGAGTGTCTGAAATGTTAAGAAGCTGCTTGACCCTGGTCCCCAGAGCGTTTGGCCTGGGACTTTTTAGCCGACTACTGGCACCGGCTCCTTTTACTCTCTTCCCTTATTCCTCTGACATTCTGAGCTCTTGTCGCATCCTGCAGTTTGACTTTCCCCTTGGCAAATTCACAGGTAACCACGGAAAAGGAGTCCCTGTGTTCACGGGGGAGGTGGACTGCACCTACTTCTTCACATGGGACACCAAGTATGCCTGTGTCAAGGAGAAGGAGGACCTGTTGTGTGGTCTCAGTGACGGGAGGAGGCGGTACGACCTGTCCCCTCTGGCTCGACACTCAGGTAGGTCTGAGGCTGTGGGGCCATGTCTGTGCGTCTGGGGGTCCCCGGCCTCTTCCTGGAATGGCTCGGGACATGCTGCTGCTGTACTCTTGAACGCAGTCCACTGATGGTGTCGTGGTCTTCCTCGTTCCTGTTCCTTCTCACGTGGCAGCATGGATTAGGAACAGCCCCGAGATGGGAGAAAACGCCCGACTTCGAAGCTGGCGTCGCCATTTGCCAGCTCTGCTACCTTCCTCGTCTTGTTGATAGTTTAATAAAGACCCCCAGGCCCTGTGCCTCGGGTTAAATCCTTTTTATTTTTCAGTTGAAACTCCTGCGACAGCTTTCAGGCAGGCAGCATCTCCGTGTAGCACACGACCTCTCAGGTTCCGAGGGTGACATGCTAGGTGTTAAGAGTTGGGCTAGGCTTCAGTTTGTACCTTTTGGCCCCCAAACTTTTCCCGGTATCTCACTGCTTCAAATCCGCCTCATCACTGGTGTTGACATTGCCTCCCAGCCTCACTGCTCTCTTGTGCAGAGATCAGCGGAGGGGAGGGTGGTGGGTGAGCTCTTGGGAGGCTGGGAAGTGCGTGAACGAGAAGGTGGGGTTGGTCCTCCAGGCCTTGGCTCCTGGTGAATGCCTGCCGAATTGTGTCGATGGATTTACCGACAAGTGTTCGTTGAGCATTTGGGTTCAGACTTGGTGCTGAGGGTGCTGTGGGGAGCTTGGGGCCTGTCCTCGCCCTCGTGTGGCTACAGTTTAACAGAAAGAAGAAGATTGAATTGTACATGTGGGAGCTTGTAGCAGGGTGTGGCAGGGGTGCCTGATCTAGCCGAGGACTTCCCGGTTTGCTCTTTCCGCAGCCCTGGAAGTCAGGCCGTTGCAGACAGTTGTACCTGTTGGGTAGAGGTAGCGTGTGAGGCCGCGAGTGACTTGCCCAAAGTCACACTGTCCACAGCTACTGGAGGACTGCCTTCCATGCTGCCCTAGTCCTCATCTGCTTTGACCAGTGTGGCACCAGCAAGGGGAGTCCTCTTTTGTGCAGTGTCCCCGTGTGTCCCTTTGAACATAGACCTCTGCTGTAAGTGTTATGTGTTAAGGCCTCATCTCAGGAGCAGGTGGTCTGTGCGTAGGTAAGATGTACTGTCGGGCTGTTGGCAACAGTGCTGTGGTCACTTCTGGTCCAGGTGTGCTCTCAGGGAGCGGGGCTAACTTGGAACCAGAGGCCCAGCTCAGGATTGCACGGCTACTACCAGCTACATGTCCTTAAGCAAGGGCCTGCCTTGTCCCGCCCCTGCCGCCTTCAGTAAGCTGAGTGTGCTGGTGCTGTCCCTCGTGTCTAAGGCTTTCAGCGTCACCATGTCAGGATGCAGCCTCAGATGTGGGAGGGGTTCAGGATGCAGCCAGTAGCCTGCCTGCTGCATCTCTGGGTGTTTGCACCCCGATGAACCTAAGAAGGCTGGATGGCATGAGCGGAAATCCCACCTTCTGGTATACCAAGAAACCTCTTGAAAGCTCTCAGGTTCTGTTCGGGCGGCCCTTGTTTACACATGTCTTCACCTGTGGTTTCTTCCAGGCTGTGTTTGAGCCAGTTCTTGGCCCACCACCTGTGAACCGTGGGCTTCCTGCCTTCTGAATACTGGTTCTCGACATGCACCAGAAGTGTTTTTCAATTAGAGCCTCCCTCTGGATGTATTTATGTGTCTTTCTTCCCTTCCCTGCTGTCGGCGCGGCGCTGTGGCTGTCGGCAGCAGTGGCTGGCTGTGGCCTCTCTCCGTTGCTGTAGAGCTCTCAGCTCTCTGCTGTGCTCCCGCCACCTGCTGTTAAGGTGGATTTGGTTCTGCTGGGACGTGACTGGATCACGCACCTTTGGTGTTGAGAGCCCATGGCTGTGTGCCATCCTGTGGCACGGAGCACGAAGCCCTGCGCTCATTCTGGGCTTCTCTTGTGTGGGATGCAGGTCTCTCCTCACCACACAGCCCTTGACAGGTTGGAGGCTGGAGGTGTCCTTGGTGGGGGTCTTTCTGCTAGACCCCCAGGCCACCCTGGCTTCCTGATAGGTTTTTCTGTTTCTGATTTCACACTGGGGGAGCTCTGGAGAATTTTGCTGTTCGATTCTTGATCCCCGCCCCCATGTAAACCTCCTCTTCTGAGTGTTGGAGTGTGGTTTGTGTCCAACTCATTTAAAAATCTCAGAATCTGTGGGAGGTTCTGAGCCTTCAGCCTGCCTGGGTCACAGGGCTGTGAGGGCCAGGGGTTGGTGACTATCTCAGTTTCCTGTGGCTGTGTAATGAAAATACCATAGCCAGTGCCTTAAAAAACAAGTGTTTGTTTTCTCACAGTTCTGGGGTCTGGAGAGGAGTTTGAAGTCTGAGTCAGGCTGTGCTGGTTCCTTCTGCGGGTGTGCTCCTAGTTCTTGGAGGCTGCTGTTGCTCCTTGGCGTCCTCTGCAGCTGGTCGATTCCTTACATTCTGTCTTCCCCTGGGAGCGCCTGCCCTGTGTCCCACGCCACTTAGGAGGGCTTAGGACTAGGACTTGCCCTGCCTCCAGTAGGACTTCCCTGATAAGATCCTCAAGGAAAGGGCAGGTTTCCTCAGACAAGATCTCATTCACAGGCACAGGGGTTGGGTCAGTGTAACTGTTTTGGGGGACCACTCAGCCCAAGACAGGGACCTAATACTTCATGAGCTCAGGGCCCTTTCCTTTTGGCTTCATCACCACGTAATGTGACTGACAGAAGAATAATCATTGCCTTTTGCTAAAAGAAAGAGTTTTCCGTTACAGAACGAGAACAGAATTGGGAAGCCGTGGATGGCAGCCAGGCAGACATGGAAAAGAAGCATTTTTTCATTAATGTCTGTCACCGAGTGCTACAGACGGGCCAGGCGAGAGGCTGCGCCGAGGACGCAGCTGTGTGCGCTGTGGGTGAGTGGGGGCTGGGGGTACCCAGTTGCGCCCAGTCTGGAGTGAGTTATGAAGTCTTCCCGTGGCTTATCTAGGCCTCCTTTTCGTGGGTTCAATATATAAAGAAAACGTAAAGGAAAAAAGTTAGTGATGCGATTGTAGGAAACTGTGTGACGCCCTTTGAAAATGTGGAACTTCGATTGTCCTGAAGTGGGCCAGTGCCTTCTGAACCTAGGTTGGATTGAGGGAGTGATCCTAGCATTCAGACATGTCTGTAGACCAGGCTGCAATGGAAGCCTTTCTTAAGCTGTGGTCCTAACATGGTCTTTTGAAAAGCATGGCCGGGGGCCTCCTTGGAAGGACTTTGGGACACAGGTTTGTATTTTAGCTTAGAAAAGCAGCTGGACAGATGGTCCCCTGGCTGGCCCACTCAGCAGGCGTGGTTCTTCCTGCTTTGTTCACGGTGCTGCTCTGAGCCCTTGGCTGTGGTTTCTAGAGCACGTGTGTCTCAGGGTGGCTGAGCCCCTGACGATGGGGGGGATCACATTGCTCCACGAACTTGCCCCCTCATCCTTCCCTTGTTCCCATGGAGATCAGTGCTTACCTTTCATGGCCCTCTGAGCCTGGAGGTGGCCTTGGAGCCCTCGTCCACGTGGCTGCCACATGTCACTCAAGACTTGGCACTCAGGGAAGGCTTGTTTCCCACCCTGGCCTGCCTGTGCGGGCCGGGGCTGGGCAGGGGCATGGTGCCCAGGCTGGGCTTTTGCTGACTTTGGATGCTTCATCATCTGTGTCGGAGTCTCTGGTGGCACAAGCGTTGAAGTGCTGGGCTATCGACCGGCAGGTGATAACCACCAGAGCTACCTGGGAAGGAAGACGTGGGATCTGGGTCTGAGAAATGGGCCACTGAAATCCCGATGGAGCACAGCTCTGACATACATGGGGTCACATGACTCGGGACTGACTCGATAGTCACCGTCCGTCTTGTCTTCGCCAGGGTCGTTTTTAACTGTGCCCTTCTGTGTGTGTGTCTCCCCCACCCCTTTCCAGATAAGAATGGAAGAAGTAAAAATCTGGGAAGATTTTTGTCTTCTCCCACAAAAGACAAAGGAAACGTTCAGCTCTGTTACTCAGACGGTGATGCTTGTGGTCGTGGCAAGAAAATAAAAACAAATATTACGTTTGTTTGTAAACCAGGTAAAAATTTTTTAGCAAAGACATTACAGTGACTTTTGTCAGAGGGCTGCCTTTATCCTTCACCCTCTCTTCTTCCTTGGTCACCGTGAAGTCCACATGCAAGGGGGTGCCGAATATTTTCGGCTCCGGAATTCAGTGGTGGGGGTAGGTGGGTCAACTGGGTTTTATCCTTCACCCGTCTCCCCTCCCCCAACCAGCCTGGAATTGGTGATGCCCTGTGCCTCACCACCCCGTACCCAATGGCCTTGTGGCATACTGTGCCCCGCTGCCCTCTCATGGCCCCGGCACCCCATGCCCCACTGCCCGGCACTGTGCCCCACCGAGGGCAGTTTTGTTGCGATTCCCTGATAAGCTGTGTCAGCTGGGCTTCCCCTTCCTTTGATACAATGAAAGTTATGCGGGTCACTTAACTTCCTCTGAAGGCTGGAAGGAATGGTAACCGTTTAAAACGCAGTGGGTAATGCCACCCTTTAGATTCAGTGCTGGCTCTCACCTTTATGTACAGGTACGCATTGTTTCCAGAGTCCGATCTGCATGTATGCACACGTTTATATTTACAATAGAGCATTTTGTAAATACTCTCATGTTTCAAATTATTACTATACTTTCAGGGGGGCTTCTTTGCTGGTGAGGCATGGCTTTGCCCTTTTGAAACATCCGATTGTTGGAATAATAGCCTGTTTTCAGGAGGGAATCTGCACGCTTCCGTAGCCTCTCCCCACCTCATGGTGATAAGCTGCCTTTGGATAAGTTCCCAGCTGTAGAATGGGTCAGAATAGGACCAATATTTGACACTCAGTGTATTTTACCTAGTTTCCCACCACTTCTGCCAGGTCTGTTTTTAACAGAGTGAGACTCGGGTTCTGGATGGAACAAACGGTTTGATCTCGACTTCTAACCTGAAGGTTGGTGGATCAAACCCACCTAGCAGTGCCATGGAAGAAAGGCCTGGTGACCTGTTTCCGTGACGATTATAGCCGGGAAAACCCTGTAGAGCTCAGTTCTCCTCTGTAGTGCCCGGGCTCTCCAGGAGTAGGCCCCAACTTGCGGCGCTGGTAGTTCAGTCTTGCTTCTGCCAAGTCTGTTTTTCACAGAGTGAGAACAAGGCAAGATTTTCAGGAGTGGATTCGTGATCGTTTCTTCCCCCCGTCGACAGGTGATTTTGAAAGTGCTCCAGTGCTGAGAAGTTTTGGGGACAGTGGTTGCTTCTACGAGTTTGAGTGGCACACGGCTGCTGCCTGCGTGCTGGCCAGGGCAGAGGGCGAGAACTGCACCGTGCTGGATTCCCAGGCAGGTGGGTATTGTGTGATGTCAGTTGTATCTGCTTCCTTTTTAAAAACATTTTTATGAACGTTTCATAGATAACCTCCTTTAGAATTGTGTTCCTACTATCTGACCAAAATTCTGAAAACCTGATGTTTGGGGCTTGTTGGAGATATCAAAGATAGTATCTAAACCCACTGCTGAGATAAGCGTGCTGAGTGACACGCCTGAGGAGCACAGGGCAGTAAGTCATGTGTGAAAAGGCTTTTCACGTGAGTTCTAGCCAAGACGTGTATCCTGGGGACCCTTGACAAGCAGACCATTGGACTGTGGTCGTCATATGAGCTTTGAACATACTGGTTGTTTATTAGCCCTGCTGTTACAGGCTTCCAGTGTTTCAGGTTTACACAGTGAAAGGGGTTGGTGGTGTTGACTCCATTTCCAAGGAAAATACTAGTAACGTCAGCCTTGGTGGCCTGTGGGTAAAGTGTCTTTGTCCCTGGGAAGAATGTCTATCTCTCCATGCTGTGGACATGAAGTCACTTTTGGTGACTGAGTTCTGACTGACCTTAAGTATTTTGATCTGTTTGTTCTTGTATAGGGTTTTCTTTTGATTTGTCACCTCTTGCAAAGACAAGTGGCTATAAAGTTGAAACAGAGGAGTATGACTTTTACATAAATGTGTGTGGCCCTGTGACTCTGAACTCTTGTGAGAACTCAGGAGCGTGTCAGGTTGCAAAAAGGCAAGTACCTGTTTTCTGCCATGGAGTGTTCTGAGGTATTCTGTGTCGACACGTACTTTATTCAGGAATGAGTCTGTCCTCTTCTGAGGTTGTTACGTTTATGACAAGCATTTCGATGCTGAGAAGGTCTGGCCTGAACACCAAGCGCTCAGAGTTTCCTGCCACAGAGAAAGGGACAAACCTCCCTTGGAGGGTGTGAGTTATGTGATACTTCAGCTCTGTGTGCTCTGTGCCCGTCAGGTGTGAGGTAGATCCTCGTGCTCCTGTTTCTCCATTCTGTGTGCTACCTCTTAACATGCAGCCAGTGGTGCTGAGAGTGGATTTGGGTCCCAGTGAGCAGGGGAGGGTGGGCTGGGGTGAGAGCCCTCTTACTCTGCACCCCCACAAGGGTGCCCCACTTGGAAATCCTTACCTTGTGTGGTAGACTACTCCGGGTCCTGGGAATTCCAGCGCATCGGCCCTTCCCCAAATACGGCGGCATTAGTGTGTTTCTGGTTGTAGTGTCTCTTCTGAGGGACGTCTGTTCGTTTGTTTGTTTTAGTGACAAGAAGGTTTGGAACCTGGGCCTGAGTAATGCTAAGCTTTCGTATTATGACGGGATGATCCAGCTGAACTACAGGGATGGCACCCCCTATAATAATGCAAAGCATACTCCGAGATCGACACTCATCACTTTCCTCTGTGACAGAGACGCTGGAGTGGGTGCCCCTGAGTATCAGGTAGGGATTGTCCCATGTATGTGTGTGCGTGTACGTATCAGTGAGGGAAGTGGGCAGAGATGCCCACCTCCACGAGGCAGGGAAGCAGCAGCAGCATTACTGCAGGGCTGACTTCCCTAACATACAATGTGGTTTTCGTAACCTGTGAGATACGGGCCACAATGCTCCCCCTTGGGTCACTGGTAGTCCCCTCCCCTGGCTTTGGGGAAAATGAACCTGTCCCGGGCCCTTTGTTTAGAGGCAGAGCTGGTGGTAATGGGTCTGGTTTCCGTCATTCTTCTCAGGCCTCCCAGGCAGGGAGTGGTGTCATTCTTCGGGCTGTGTGGTCCTGGGCATGTACCTCGGTGACAGCCTGCGTGGCGATGCGGGGCAGAGAACACACAGAAACGTCAGGACTCATCTCTCAGTCCCATTTAGCAGAGGGTCCAGTTCCATCTGAATCCATTGTCGGGCGGTCTTCCTCTTAATAAAGTGAACAGAGAAAGGCAAAGGAAAAGTGTTTTTTAACAATCCTTTTTTTTTATGGTGGGGAAGTATATATAACAAGCAACAAAACGTTGCTATTTCAGCCGTGTTTCTAGGTACAGTGCAGTGCCGTTACTTGTGTCCCCCACATTGTGCAGCCATCACCACTACCTGTTTCTAAATTCTCCGTCCCCCTGAACAGATTCTCAGTTTTCCTCAAGCCGTACCTCCCACCCCCTCCTGCCACCTGTCCCTGGTCACCACCATAGCCTTTGGTCCCCATGCACTGGCCTCTTCTAGATGTTGTATATAAGTGGGATCAACAGCCTCTGTCCTCTCGTGGCCTACTTCATGCAGCATAATGTCCAGCTTCATCCAGGTCATAGCACGTATTTTGTTTCTCTTTATGGCTGGGGGATACTCCGTTGTGTGGATTTTGTCAGTCCACTCATCTGTTGATGTTAAACTGTGTGTGAGAGAGGGGTTTTTCTTTCAGAAATGCCACTGTCCGTGTTGAAGGTCCGGCTTTGTGTCACGTTTCCTCTTCTTTGACTGCCCCTTCCCCCCGTCACCCTCCTCGGTGTGTCGTTAGGAAGAAGACAACTCGACCTACAACTTCCGCTGGTACACCAACTACGCCTGCCCCGAGGAGCCCCTGGAGTGTGTTGTGACAGACCCCATCACACTGGAGCAGTACGACCTTTCCAGGTGAGGGGCTTCCTCGGGGCCTGCCTGCTTGGCCCTTGGGGTCAGGTCCAGCGCTGGGTCCAGAGTCTGGGCTGAGGCTGCAGAGCTGGTCACGGTGGCCACACGACTGCCGACGGTGGGAAGTGATGTCAGTGCTGGGGTGCAGTGTCAAGTGGTGAGCTTGACGCCGTGTGAATTTGAGTGATGCTCTGGTAGTCGTTGTGATACCGGTGGGGGACGCGTGCTGTTTGGTGTTCTGAGATGTGAGTTTGCCCCTGGATGGCACAGACACCCTCCTGCCCGTCTCTGGTTCTGAACCTTTAGCGTTCGCTGTTTGCAACCATAACTGTCACCACAGAGGTTCAGGTAGTTTGAGAGCCCACGGCCTGCAGAGTTGGCTGTGGTCATGGTCAGTCAGGAATCGTGGAATGGCAGTCCCGCCTCATCCAATGTGTCTGTATTTCTCCAACTGTCTAGGAATAAATGGTTACACTGAGCTGTGTAAGCTCTCTAAAAGCATACATTTTGCTCTGAATCTGTAGTCTAGCAAAATCCGAAGGCAGCCATGGTGGAAACTGGTATGCCATGGATAATGCTGGTGCACGGGCCACCTGGAGGAAGTACTACATCAATGTGTGTCGGCCCCTGAACCCGGTGCCTGGCTGTGACCGCTTTGCCTCTGCGTGTGAGATGAAATACAAGCGTGAGCAGGTGAGCCTGCCACCGCCCCCCCAGTCCCGGGTGTCATCCTGTCATGTGACCCCCACGTGTGGGAGCTGGTTTGGACTCCCAGATCAGAGCCACCTGCCTGCTGGAGTGGGGCCCTGGACGTGTGCATGGGCTGTCCCTGTAAACCGATCTCCTGACAGATGTGGACAAACCTAAAAAACAAGTTCCTGGTGTTGGTGACCTTTGCTCACAGTGAAGGGCAGAGGGAGCCCGCATTCGGAAGTGCCCTTTCCGTGGTTCAGCAGATATCCGTGAAGAAGTCGTGTTTGCTTGCTGGCAAATGCTACTGGGCTGGCTGGGAGGACGTGGGCTTGAGCAAGTGGCTGCGGGTGGACTTGGCCCGCGCTCTTCTGGTGCCAGGCTGTGCTTGGCTGTCCGGTGGGGTTCCGCTCCTGCCGGAACTTTTCGCCACATCCTCTTGGTCCCCATGCAGGGCAGTGTGAAAGGTGTGTGTGCTGTAGAAACCGGCTTCCTCAGAGAGCTTGTCTGGAATCGCTTTTCTCAGCGTCCTCACTGGCGGCTTGGGAGTCTTATGGGGAAGGAGGAGAGTGCCCTCTGGTGGTCAGACACCTTCATGGCGCCATGACCGCTGCTCCATCAGAGCGAGGAAGTCACTTGTGTTCCAAGGGAAAGTCCAACGGATGTGCTTACTTGCAGGGGTCATCTTCTGAGATCGTCTCCATCAGTAACTTGGGCATCGCGAGGGCAGGTCCCACAATTGAAGACAGGGGCAGCCTCCTCCTGGAGTATGTGAACGGCTCGGCCTGCAAGACCAGCGACGGCCAGCTGACCAACTACACCACACGGATCCACCTCATCTGTTCCCCGGGCAGCGTGGTGCGTGGCAGGGCATCGGGGTGGGAAGTGCTCCCGCCCTGTCTGCTGAGCGGCCTGCTGTGTCTCAGCTCGGGTGGCAGAGGAGTGTGCTTGGGCTCAGCCCTGCCTTAGGTCAGCCTGTGCCGCGACTGGGAGGAGCGAGGACTTTGCCGTGGGTGCTCCTGTGGCGGATTTCTGAAGCTTTAGCCTCAAAGCCTGTCACTGTGTCAGCCTGTGCCCGACACGGTCCGTCCTGTGGGCTTGAATCCCCCCTGGAATTGTACAGACACCCCACCCCTTCGGGGATGGTTTGGTGTGTGAAGCCCAGAGTTCATAGGGGAGGACGCTGAGTCCAATGTGTCCCAGACACACAGAGAAGAACAGACAGGGAACATGATAGCAAAACGAGCTGATGGGGCAAGGCAGAGAGCCGAGACAGTGCTGAGGGGCTTTTGGCCCTGAGTTCCTTTGCTGGGGACACAGAGTAGAAAACTCCAAACAGAAATGCTGGGGGCCTGGGGGACTGAGGTCTCATCCCAGTTCTTTTCCACCTGGATGTTAATGCTTTTATTGGGTCTTACAATAATTTAAAAATTGTTGGGTAAATCCAGAGTGGGGACACTGAGGTCGTGTTTATGATCGGATGAGTATTTTAAAAGTCTAGGTGCATTCCAGTTTCCTCTAGGCTCATTGAAATGAACTAGCATTCCCTGCTCTCCGTCTGAAACCAGTTGCTGTCAAGTCAGCCTTGACTCACAGTGACCCATGTGGTCAGAATAGAACTTGAACTTTTAATGTCTGGGCTTTAAAAGATCACCAGATCTTTCTTAGGCGGCACCTCCCCCCTTTTGATTAGCAGTGGAGTGTGTTAACCATTGACACCACCGAGGCTGGTGGACTTTCAGTCGCGGCCTGTCCAGTCGCTTGGAGACCCCCAGGTGACTTGCACTGTCTGTCAGCACACCAGTCTATGCTTCACTGAACGTTCTATGCTTCGTTGAACATTCTAGAGGACCTCTGTGAAACAGGCCTGGTGTTCGCTGGCTAAGTGCAGGCCCACAAATGACATTATAAACACGTGATCCTTTGTGTGCTCTGAGCAGGGGCTCCATGCCCTTCTCTGGGTCCTGAGAAGGAATCCCCAGAGCTTTGATTCCAAAGGCACAGGCCTGCCCCCAGAGGGCTTCACGGTCAGCGTACTTGGGCCCCTGTTGTCCCTTCCTCAGAACCTTGACTATGCACCTACCCTTCTCTGTTTTCTGGACACTGAGGTACTGGATGGTTCCAGTAATTTTGTTTGGACCCTTAGTGTATCAGCTTTTCTAAGAAAGCTTACTTGATGGTGTGTTTTGATTTTCAGGGTAATCTCACATTGTCACTGTCCCTCAGCATGTGCACAGGGCTGATATACTGCGCAGGCCCTGCACGTCCTCACGGACTGATGAGAGAATTCCCCGTTACCAGATGCCCCGTTGTCATTGAGTACGTTCCGAGTCACAGCGACTCTGTAGGACAGAGCAGAACACTGCATGGGCCCTGCACGTCCTCACGGACTGACTAGAGAATTCCTCGTTACCAGATGCCCTGTTGTCATTGAGTACGTTCCGAGTCGCAGCGACTCTGTAGGACAGAGCAGAACACTGCATGGGCCCTGCACGTCCTCACGGACTGACTAGAGAATTCCTTGTTACCAGATGCCCTGTTGTCATTGAGTACGTTCC